GTGTGAATAGTTCTATATACCTCCTAATTTATAATTGTGAGCTGATTGTTGGCTTTATAGTTGGCTAATACCGTATTATAGAGGTTAGATTGTAATATGTTAAGATTAGTATTAGTGTGGGTTTGAGTTTTAGATAGTTAGTATTAGTGCGTTTTTGATTAATGTAAATAAAGATAATTAAAATAAAATATATACTATACATACCATCTTGTACCCTTTTCTTCTGAATCATTATCCCCTAACTAAATTAGTGGTGGTTGTTCCGATAATTTATTTTTCTAAAAATGAATTAGAATAAATAATTTAAATTAAACAAATTAAAAAAATATAATAATTTAAATAAATTAATAAATAAATAAAAAAATAAAATATATAATAAAACGAATTAAAAAATTTAAAATAATTTAAATAAAAAAAATAAATAAAATAATTTAAAAAAAAAAATTATGAAATAAAAAATAATTTAAAAAAAACTACGATTTTGTAAATATAATAATAATTTAAACAAATTTTTTAATTTATTAATTTGTTTTATTTTTTTTCTTTTTTTTTAATTTTTCTTTAAAATTATTTTTTATTTAATGTTTTAACATCGTTTTTATTTTTATCTTAAATTCTTTCAATTTTTATTTATTTAATTTATTAAATTATTTATTTTTTTAATTCGTCTTAATTTATTTTGTTTAACAAAAATCATTTTATTTATTTTAAATTATTTATTTAATTCGTTTTCAGAAAAATAATTATTGGAACAACCACCACTAACTATTCGGAGGATAATTCTTGTCTTCAGGTTTAGATTTATTTTATTTTCTAATTGTTTTTCTTTTTTTCTTTACGCACTAATACTAACTTTAACACTACCTACCCTAATCTAACGTGACTATCTAACCCTATCTTTTATTTAACACTAACCCACATTAATTACAACGCCATGACACCTAGCAAACATTAAAGAAGAAATGACGAAACGACGAAATGATGAAATGAGAAGATGATGAAATAACAAAATGACGAAATGACAACACTATAGAAAAAAAAAAAAAGAAACACTACAATGAAATAGCAGTACAAGAAAATCAAAGACATGATGAAATGACAATAGAAGAAAAAAAAGTAAACTCCACTAATGAAACGACAACTGCACCTATAATTGCAATACCAAACCGACGACGAAACAGTACAACAGTAAAAAATAGTGACAACACCAACGACAAACAGCGACGTTTAAAAAAAAAAAAGGTTAGTAAAAAAAAAAGTTAGATCTGTGTATTTATTTTTTTTATGTTGATCTGTGAAACAGGAAAGTGCCGTGTGATTTTGTGATCCCGATCTAGACTGGAGATTGATTGGTCACATAATCTGGAAAATCTTACCTACACTCTGTATCTGTCACCAACACCACAGGCAGAAAATGAAAGAAATAGCCCTCCAACAAACTTTCACTCTCCTTGTAGAATTGGTCCTATGAACCCTTCCACAATGACAGATGCTGCAATTGGCAGCAAGACTACAGCAACTAACAACCACAACCAAGCTTACTTAAAACTTAAAACAACTTAAAACAACTACTCAACAAGCATCCACAAGCACCAGCTTCTCCAGCGGTTTTTCTCTTCTAAACCCTCTAACCTATATTACTGACAAGCCAAGTTCCAAAACCACAACACTCACCATCTTAAACAAGCATGCCATCACTGAATACACCAAAGAATTTGTAGATATTAACATCAAAGACTAGTCCAAACTTACATTCATTATCACCTTTCATATCCCAGAATTTGCAAACAAATTTCTCTTTAATGCGGAATTCTTTCAGTCTAGAAATATACCAAATATAGTTAAATTTCCTATACAATGGATATGCAAATACAATAACACAACCAAATCAATTCTATTTGACCTTACAAGTACCAAACGCAGCTTTGTAAATATCAATGCCAAACTGCCTAGAGCTACATGTAATTGTGGTATAGATGTAACTATCAAAGCATACGAGCAAACACAAAAGTCATACCACCTACCAGAATACTCATACATCTGCCCAATCCAATAAGATCTCTAGTAATAAAAAATGGCCTATACTCACAACAATCAATACCACTAATACAAACATGCAGGTACCAGAATCTCAATCAACTGTATTATCTATATATATAGCTACTACTATGGATTTTACTGAAACAACCAAACTATTCTATAGTCAAGCCATATGAAAAAATCTTGATCTATCTACCTTTGAGGTACCTGATAGTACTGCATAGGTATAGCAGGTTGCAAGCAAAATTGTACAAGATACAAAATAACCATTTAACCTAAATAACTGGATATATGATGCTATAGCTACTTCACTTCAAATCTCAGATGGTATACAACAATTGGTGCAGCATAAAATTAGCTCTACTCATACTCAATTTGAAATACCTTCAGCAATTATTTAAAGTTTAAACATCTAGACACAAGATTCTTTACTACATTTTCTAGAAACCCCAAAACTATGCCAGCATATC